TCATGTAGTCGCCCAAACTCCTCCTAAGATTGTAGATTTTCCTAGTTATCCTCGATGCACTCATAAGTCTACTCACCTACTAGATTTTGTTTACTCTTGTTATTCCACTTCTTTTTCTTTATTTTTAGCATCTATTCATTGTGTCTCTGAGCCCATATCCTACAAAGAGGTAGTTCTTGACCCCCTTTGGCAGCATGCTATGAATGAGGAACTTTCTGCTTTGCAAAAGACAGATACTTGGGATTTGGTACCTTTACCTTCTGGTAAAAGTACAATTGGTTCTCGTTGGGTCTATAAAATCAAGACCAAGTCTGATGGGTCCGTTGAGCGCTACAAAGCTAGATTGGTTGCTAAGGGGTTTTCTCAGCAGTATGGTATAAATTATGAGGAGACTTTTGCTCCTATTGCAAAAATGACTACAATTCGTACTCTTATTGCAGTTGCATCTACTCATCAATGGCATATATCTCAGATGGATGTTAAGAATGCTTTCTTGATGGTGATCTAAATAAAGAAGTTTACATGATTCCCTCGCCTGGTGTCTCTCATAAACATGGAGAAGTTTGCAGGCTTAAGAACGCTTTATATGGCTTCAAACATGCACCTCGAACTTGGTTTGAAAATTTCTCTACTGTGATCACAACTCTTGGGTTTTCCTCCAGTAATCATGACTCATCTCTCTTTATCAAGTGTCTACATGTCATATTTTGCTTTCCCTATATCTTGATGATATGATTATTATTGGTGATGATGTTGATGGGATTGTAGTGTTGAAGTCAAAATTAGCCCATCAGTTTGAAATGAAGGATTTGGGTTCTCTTCTTTTTGGGTATTGAAGTTGCCTCTTCTCCAAAAGGTTACCTTCTTTCTTAGTCTAAGTACACGGCTGATATCCTTGAGCGTGCTTGTCTCACTGATACTAGAACTATAGATACTCCTTGTGAGCTTAATATTCGGTATACGCCTTCTGATGGTACTCCTTTGTTAGATCCTACTTTATATTGCACTATTGTTGGCAGTTTGGTCTACCTCACTATCACTCGTCCAGACATTGCATATGCTGTTCATATTGTCAGTCAGTTTGTTGCTTCTCCTACTACCGGGCAGCTGTTCTTCGTATTTTGCGGTATCTTCGCGTCTTTCAGAATCTTTGACTTTCATCCACCTCATCCTTGGAGCTTCGTGCATACTCTAATGCTGATTGGGCCCGTGATTTTATGGATTGCAAGTTTGTTACTGGTTTTTGTATCTTTTCGGGTGAATCTCTTATTTCTTGGAAGAGCAAGAAACAAACTGTTGTTTCTCAATCTACTGCCGAAGCAGAGTATCGTGCTATGTGCATGCACTATCAAAGAGATTGTTTGGTTATGTTGGTTACTTGCAGATATGAGTGTTTCTCTTTCTCATCCCTCTCCCATGTATTGTGACAATCATATATAGTTCTATTCAGATTGCTCACAATTCAGTTTTTCATGAACAAACCAAGCACATTGAGATCGATTGTCTTTTTACCCATCACCACCTCAAGCATGGCACCATTACTTTGCCTTTTGTTTCTTCTTCCTTGCAGCTTACTGACTTCTTTACCAAATTGCATCCTATTTCACGCTTTCGCTTTCTCGTTGGCAAACTCTTGATGCTTTCTGCAGCCGCATCGTGAGTTGGAGGGGGGATGTTAGAGTTATTATATATTTACTATAAGTGTAGTTTAGTCTTTTATATAGTAAGGGTAGTTTAGTCTTTTATTAGTTTTGTATATTATCTCATTTTCCCTCTTTTGCATTGTATTGTATTTTTCCCTCTCTTCTTTTGCAATGAGAAACCCGAACCCTCATTTTCTCTCTTCTCTGATTTCTATTTGAATGTTTAATTTTTGCTTTTGAATAATGTCATTAAATAAAAGGTATTTGAATTTATGAGCTTTTATAAGATTTTTTTGTTATTTAAAACTATTTAATTGTGGTCAATAGTTTTACTCATTCATTTATTATATGAATTAAAAAGATAAAAAGATGTATAGCTAGAGGAATCTATTTATTAATTGCATTAAATTTTCAATTTATTTCTGTTGATACTATATTTTTTCCTTGTTTTATCTAAGCATATCCAAATTCAAAACTTTAAATATATTTAATAGTTGTTTCTCATTTATATATAAAATATAAAACATATTCAATTTCAAAGAGTATAATTAAATAATAATACCTTCACTAAGAAGATAGCAATTCTTCATAAAGGTGTGAAAAGAGTAAAGGATTTCTTCATTATAAAGAAAACTTTATTCATTTCAATGGAATTTATTCTTTTGACTCATTGACACTTTATTTTATTCTTAATTTTATCAATTTAATTTAATACTAATATTAATAAAAACTTAGGCTGTGTTTGTTTTATTATTTTGAGTAGTATTTTTGAAAAAGTTGAGTTGAGTTCTGATTATGAGGTAGATTTAAAAGTTAACAAAAATATTTCATAAGTTTGTTAATTTAGCTAAACACCCCCTATAATAAAAAGTTTATAAATAGATAAAAACACCCCCATTCACCCACATTTGCCAGCTTCTGGCCACCACCGCTAAAAGGTGGTCGGAATTTGTCGTAATGGCACATGACTGGCTGAATTTAGCCGATCATGTGTTGATGCCAGCTTCTGGCCACCATCGCTAGAAGGTGGCCGGAATTTGCCGTGATGGCACACGATTGGCTGAATCTAGTCGGTCATGTGTCGATATAACTTTTTTCGGCCAGATCTACGGCTTTAACGGCCAGGATATGGGCGTCGTTGATGATCAAATATAGTCAAAGATCTGGCCATCAACGACTAGATCTATAGTTGTACATCTGGTCTTTTTCGGCCAGATCTATGGTCGTACATTTGGCTTTTTTTGGCTAGATCTATAGTGGATCTGACTGGTACTACCAGTCAGATCTAACCGATAGTGCATCACTACGACAGATACCAGCCACCTTCCGATGGTGGTGGCCAAAATTTGACAAATGTGAGTGGGTGGGAGTTTTTTGTTAATTTATAAAAAAAAAAATTATTGGGGGTGTTTAGTTAAATTAACAAATCTAAGGGACTTAGGGGGTTTAAAAATAGTTGAATAGAATAGGATTGAATTTTGAGAATAGGAAATAAATATGTATTTTGGATAGGATAGGGATAGGATAGAGGCTGAACGCAGTTTTAGATTTATTATTATTTTAAAAAAATTCCACTCATATTGTTAGATTAATAAATGAAAGCTCCCTGCTTTAATTTTAAAGTGGAGAATATATTGCTTTTTTCTATAAGCATTAATTATTGACTTTAAAAAGTTTGTTAGAATATTTAATATGATAAAGAATGTCTTACCTACGATTTAAGTTTTCTGTCTTACCTACGGTTTAAGTTTTCTAGTTTTATATAACCATGATGTCATGGAGTGATGTGTTACAAAAATATAAAAATATTTAAATTAAGAATTATTTATTTAAACTAGTTTAATAATAAATCTTAAGTTTATTAATTTATATAAAATAATAATTATAATTAAAAAAACAAAATAAATTAATGCCAAAATATAATAAACCTATATGATAAGAAAATCCAAAGAGATAAAAAAAAGGAGTAAATAACATTAAAATCTCTAATATCTCTTAGTTGTCTTGCCTTATTCGTCTCGAATAACTACTATGATCGAAGTTGTGGAATGTAAAAATGCATTAGGTATGACTCGCACCTTCCATCTTTTAAGAGAATCGTAGAGAGAATCATAGCCGACAAATGCTATATTTATTTTGTCTTTTCTCGAACTAATTATTATCATATTAGTTAAATTTAAAGAACTGTAAACTTTTTTACAAGAATATAAAGATTGTTCAAAGTTAATAGTTTTTATTATTTCTAGTATCGGTACTGAAATATAGTAAATCTATATGATGAGAAATCCAAATTTTTTTATAAAAAAAGCTTTTCTCGAAATAATTATTACCAGGATTGAAGAATTATANTATCCCTTATGGGCGAACGACGGGAATTGAACCCGCGCATGGTGGATTCACAATCCACTGCCTTGATCCACTTGGCTACATCCGCCCGCTACGCGCAACGGGCTCCCCGCTCCTAGTCACTAAGTAGTGCTCTTCTCATTTCGCCCGCCTGTTTCACTCCCGCGCCGGAGGGAATGGGATTCGAACCCATGATACAATCTTCTTGTATGTCGATTTAGCAAACCAATGCCTTAAGCCACTCAGCCATCCCTCCAAGTTGTTGATCGGAATTTTTAAAAGAGTCAAGTCTTACTTATTTAAGCTGGAATGAAAATCTTCTTCTCTTATGATATTTTATAGAGTTTCGTTTCTTTTATCTATCTCCCCATTCGAACGAGAGAATTGAGTTGATAGCTTCAGTAGTGGTTGCTTGATGGTGTGTAGTGGGATGACCTGGTAGCGATCATATTAGTATGTATATGAGCAGGACTTTCAAGATCTGATATCTTTCAAGAAAGTTGGACCATTTATCACATCAAGGTAACTACGATAGGCAAAAGAAGACTCTTAGGTCGTTGATTCAAATTCTACCTATATTGCATTCACTTAATGGTCAAACCTACAATGGAATTGACTCTAACATCCGATCCGGCCGGAGGAAAGACTTACTACTACAAGGGCTTGTGCCAACCAACAAGAAGGGGGACGGAGCAAAGACATCTCTTGGCCAGAACCGGACATTGCCCTTTACCATCTCACCACTAGGAGACTGGGACTCGAGGCGTGGTTAAGTATTCCCTTCCGCTCTGGAAGTCAATTTATTTCCTATCTTTCGGTTCCAAATCTTTTTTTTCTTATAAAGAGTGTATTGTATGGTCCAGTTGGTGTGGAGAGATGGGTCACTCTTGCGCATCTCGCGCTGTGGTGATTGGTAGAGGAGCCGAGCGTACGCAAGAGTGCCTCAGGGCTTCCACTAGGCAATCGGACCACTACATCGAATTAAATAAACTGGTTTCACGCTGCCTGAGGTCAAGTCTTCCCCGCTATTCTAACTCTAAATCCCGGTCGCACTCTTCGCACAACAAATCCACTTTGAGGCGTCGGCTGAACCTTCGATCCTTTAGGAAATGACCAGCAACAGGAGGATGAGATGCCGAGGAATTTTGGTGCTAATCCCAGGACCAATCCCGTTGTTTGGGCCAGCCGAGAAGACAGACAGCGCACTCAGGACTAGGCCCGTATCCAGAACGAATAGAAGGAGGATAATTGCCATTTTTATGCTAACAGGCTGCTCAACTTTTGGAATGAGAACCAAAAGAGACCGATTAATCTCCGCGTACTGTCTCGGATCACTCATGGGAACGGGAGTGGGTGGTCCCTAGGAACGGCGGAAAGGAAGTACTGGTTCAACCAGATACGAGTGACGGAACCGGGGTTGATCAAAGACATGCGCCGAGTGCCANCCAGAATTTTATAATATAAACCTATTAGTTAACATTTTTCCCCCAACACTCATCCTACTATCAGTGCTTTTTTTTTTTTTTTTCTTTAGATTGACTGCTACAGTCGGTTAGCCTAACCTTGGTTAGGGGTGGAAGCAAGAATTTATTTTGAAGTGGGCTGAATTTTTTTTTTTTTTAAACAATACTAAATTATGAGTGGATCTATTACCTAGAGGTGGGCAAAAGTTGGGCCCGATGGTCCCAGGCCCAAGCCCAACTAGGATCGATCCCAAATTGGCTGGGATCGGTCCTAGGCCAGTCACTTTTGTGAGAGTCTGAACCGATCCCAAGCTCGAGCCTGACCTGTTTAGGATCGGTCCCATTGGCCTAGAAAATTTCAATTTAGCCCCCTAATTGTATAATTACATTTAACCCATAGATTTATTATGTATTACATATATTATAGGGGGTTTTGGTTATTTGTTAGGGGGATTTGGTAATTGGGTTAGGGGGTTTTTGAACCCAGGCCCTATAAAAGAAAGAATAGGCTGGAAAACTATTTTGTATTTCTTGTGTCTTGGTTGAATTACAATATCAACATATATAGAGAATTTACATGAGAAGATAAGTAGCAGCTGTACAAGTTAATAACAAGAATAACAAGAATGAGATAGCAAGATAAGAAACCCAAAGAAAATAGAGATAAGCACTTGCTGACATTTGAATGAAGATAGATAAAGATGCTATCATTTGAATGAAGATATAGATAAGGCTTAACACGCCGGGGCCCTGGAGGAGGGACCGGGCCTGGTCACCTTCCCAAGGGCTTGACTTGGTCCTCCCGGTCTCGGGCTTTTTGCCCAGCTCTACAGTCCTAGCAACCCATTAATGGACAAAAACCCCCATTTTTTAATAAATCCCCCATCACCAATCAAATCAGGGATTTTTCAACTTCAAAAATACTAGCCCAGGCGCGCATGAGTGCCCAGTTTTAGGAAAAGCATCCCATAAGTGCTTGGAGGCAAGAACCCTCTGTTTGAAGAATTCCGATAAGAGATTATTGTGTTTCAGAATCTTCCATGCTATCTTCATTCTGGGAGCCTTTGCATGAACTCCCTACCCTAAAATCAATACTTCATACCCCCCTTGACCTTGTGACTGAGGATCATCAACCGGCACAGACTCTAAAGCGGGATCAGAAGCAAGCGGTCCTGGATAAAATACAGTAGATATAGCAGGACTTTCTTTTTATCTACTATTATTCAAGCTCTTCAGTAATATAAAAAGGAATCTCACCTTTTCCACTAGCTGGGAGCAACTGCTTGTTGCAGTTGGCCTCTTATTCTATTCATGTTTGCTAACCTTTTTTAATTGTTTGATTGCCAATCTGTTTTGGCTTTGTCGGGTTTTCCTTTCTTTTCCTTTCCCGTATCCCCTTGATCGCTCTTTCGCGCACTATTCCATGCATGGCTCCTTGCCATGTCGATCTGTATTGTATATTGTGTTGTATTTTATTTTTAACTATTGACATATAGCCCCTGTCGTTCGCCCATAGCCCATAACTAACTAATAGTTAGAACTCTAAAATATAAAAATATAAAAAATAGTAAAATATTAATTAAATCCTTTTTTTTTTTTTTTTGTAAATTGTAAAAACGAAGAAAGAAATTCGATTTTCTCTCCTATTTACTACGGTGGCAAAAAAATCAAATTATCACTATATTTATTCATTTTTCTACTTCTTCTTCCAAGTGTAGGATAACCCCAAGGGGTTGCGGGTCTTTTTCTACCAATTGGAGCCCTTCCTTCACCACCCCCATGGGGGTGGTCTACAGGGTTCATAACTACTCCTCTTACTACAGGGATGGATTTATCCCTATATTAAATTATTAAAATTGACTTTAATTTTCTGTTCCTTACAAATACTTTCACACCTTAGTATTATCTTATAAACCCTAACTTTTTTCATGCTATTCAAATCATTCTTAACAAAAAGATAATTTAATGGAAGAAGACGATTTACGATAAGGTATACCAAGTTACGTGCAGTACAAAATTGCGAGTTTTTAATTGCCTCACATATATATTTATTGTTATTTTTTCCTTCAAAGTATTGGTATATATATTATGTTTTTAAACTGCATTATGCTCTTGGGATTATTTGCAAGGATTTTTTTCAGCTTCAATTTTTCTAAACTTCCAATTTAATTATCTAAATTTTATTTCAAGAATGATGATGTTGAGGGTTATATAACATTAGTAAGGGGAATAACATGTTAACTCTGTTAAAATATTAAAAAAATAGAATGAAGGACATTTATGAAATTTATGGGGAGCCATAAGAAAAAAAAAATATTTTAAAATTTTGAAATGAGGTGTTTTAAGAAGTGAGGTTTCTTTAGTCCATTAGTGGGATGCCAATAACTCCACTCTTAAATTATATGTAAAATTAAGACTAAGTCTAATATATAGTGATTCATTTTAGATATTCAAAATTATGTCTATGAAATCAACAAGGGCTTTCTCCTCTTTTTCAAGTCTTGCTCTAATTTTAATTAAGAGTAAACGACATGTACCGACCCAAGGTTTGGCGAATTTGCAAGTTTCCACTTGCGATTTCATAAATTCTAGATTCCCACCTATAAATTAACACTGTTAATGAATTTTGACATCTGACACAGTTGCAAACAGTGCTATTACCATGCTACCCTTATTTTGATTACAACGCCACCCAACCACCATCACCATCACCATCCAACCACCACCACCACCTTTCAACACCATTATGACCAAAACCCCAAATTCACCACCACCATACCACCCATTCACCACGATCACAATCCCTTTAAATCCCAAATTCAGCCCCGCTGCCAACAAACAACCACTACAAACCACCACCAAATCACTCACAAATTCAGCCACAAACCCACTCAAAAACCTCCACAAACTCAGCTCTAAACCCATCCAAAAACAACCACAAACCGAGCCCACCACTATTCCACCCATTCAGCATCATCGCAATCTCTCTAAACCCCAAAGTCAGCCCTACCGCCACCAAATTACTAACAAATTCAACCACAAACCACCACCCACTCACAAATTTAGAAAACGAACGACGATCTCGAGTAGGAAACAATAATCGGTGATACTTGAGATGGTTACCGGTGTGTCAAGGGAGAAGAGAGGAGCTCGATGTTGGCAGTGGATGGTGGACTTAGCACAAACACAACAAACTTGAGTGCGCATCGTGATGGAGAGATGCAATCGCAAAAGGTGGAAATGATGGTTGTTGGTGGCAGTGCTAGTGGGGGTTTTGAAGAGGATGGTGAGAGGAAGATGATGATGGAGTCAGGTAGTTAATCAATGCCAAATTTTGGTGCAAACCTGGCTAAAATCTTAGAGAGAAAGGAAGGAGTGAAAGGAGGGAGAGAGAGAGAGAGGGGTCAGACGGCTGTGTGCTGACTATGTTATCGTTTAACCATTAAATTAAACAATTTTCTGTTAATTTAAGGATGGTAATTTAGAATTTATAAAACCATGGGTGGGAACTTTCAGATTCGCCAAACCTTGGGTGGGTAAATGTAGTTTACTCTTTAATTAAAGGAGATTTGGACAGACCTAATAGCTACAGAATTCCTGGAATTCCTAGAAGATTTTGAAATTTTCAGGTTTTAGTTGACTTGAGACATTGGCTATGTTAGCTCTCTCTTAGTTCAGATGGATCCAAGTATCCAACCATACTCATTAACCAGGCTGAGCAATAGGGCCGTTACATTGGTTTCTTGCATAGATTTTCAGTGATACTAATGAAGATGGTAACACTCTCGTAAATCAATTTTGGATTTTTAATGTTATATTTATTTAAATTCCATTTGATTCCTTTATAGGTATATTTATTATGTAATTATTACATTGCAAAAATCACACTAATAACTAACCCAATTATAGCTAAGGGGTTAGTACATAATTAGCTCAGAGGGTTGCTAATTACTAACCCCATATACTTATCGATAACCATTTCATCTAGTTAATTTACTCCATACACCTTCAACTTTAAGTATTAGTTACAGTCCTGCTCAACAACCATTCGTCTCAAAGTTTATCTTAATAAACAGTTGAAATCGATTTCATGTCATGTCAAATTTAATGGTCTCTCTCTCTCTCTCTCTCTCTCTATATATATATATATATATAAACTTGAATTATTATTCCTAACCAGATTTGATCCATTCGACCAATTATACTTATAATTTGAGAAAGTGTTCCTTAGTTTTCTTGTTAGCGAGTTGCATAAACCACTAATCAAACAAACAGCTTTTTCTAATTTGGTACTAAAACCAACTAAAATAGTTGATAACAAATCAAAGAATTTGGATAACTGTTTGATCTCTTTCTTCGTCTTCATAATTCATTCCCCATCTCTACCATTTTCAAACACAAACACAAAACACAGAACAAAGTTTCTTCTATTTCCTGTGAACCCACAAGCAGGAGAATAATTAATTAGCAAAGTTGATTAACAAATTAAGCCACATTAATTTATAATAATCATGAGTTTTTCAAGCCAACCGGGCTTCTATAATGAAACAAGAGTTTGCGTAATTCTTCCCCCTAAGATTCATTCACTTGGCTTGCTGGGGGGACTTGCACGAGGAGGCAAGGAAGAATGGTTGGATTTTTCTTTACCAAGAGTTGAAATGCTCATGGGTTTGGTATTCTTGATCTCTCAAGCCTGCCATTACATTTTCAAACACTTGGGATTTCCATTGTTCACCTCTCAGCTTTTCGTAAGTTCTCTTTAATTTTTACATTCCTTAATTAATATTCTTGTAAATGTTCATTAATGTTAATAAAAGTTATGTTACTTGTATGAATTCCTAGGCTGGCCTGATACTCTCTCCAGCAGTAATCGGAAAAACTGGTTCCGCGAAGTTGATAACAAGTGCCGTCGTAAACGGGATTGGAGTATTTGGGGCATTTGGCTATTCTGGCTTTCTCTTCTTGACTGGAGTTAAAATGGATCCAACCATGGTAATAAGGGTGAGTAAAAGGGCGATTTATATTGGTTTCCTTTCCATTATACCGCCTGCAGTGTTTGCTTTAACAATCCTACAGGTTTTCTGTGATACTGAAGAAGAAAAGTATATATCTATGGGGATTGTAGTTGGTTATACTGCTTCTACATTTCCAGTCATAACTTGTGTGCTTAGTGAATTAAAGATCATAAATTCAGAACTTGGAAGAATCGCACAGAGTTCTGCAGTTGTTAGTGAAATTTTGAGCATTTTTCTCTTCGTTTTTTGTACTTTGTTCAAAGAAAATTTTCACGAAACTCTCATGGAACTTACTACTGTTGTCATCTACACTGCGTTTCTCTTTTTGGTGATTCGGCCTGCAATCAAATTCTTCATTAGACGCCTCCCTGAAGGCAAGCCTGTAGACGATTTTTTCATGGGACTCCTGGAATTTATGTTTCTGATTTCTTTACTTATAGCCAAATGGTCTCCAGCGTTTAGGTTCTTGGGGCCTCATCTTCTTGGTCTGGCAATTCCAGATGGGCCACCAGTGGGATCTACTTTGGTTGAGAAGCTAGAAAGTATGACAAATCATATATTTTTACCGATGTTATTTGTAACAGGTGGTATGAGGGTCGAAAAATTGTTCTTCATTCCTCACAATCATCTCTTAGTAATTACTGCATTTACCGCCGCCGCAGCGATGATGGTGAAATTTGGGGCTTGCTTGCTGCCACCCTTGTATAACAACATGCCTTTAAAAGATGCTTTAACAGTTTCCATCATTATGTGTTCTAAAGGTGCTGTTGAGCTCGCCGAGTTCATCCACTTAAATGACCAAAAGGTATAATTTTTTTTTTTATAAATAATTCATTGATTAATATTCTGTTTATTGTTGATTTCCTTCTTGAACGTAATCCCAACTTGTTTTGAATGCAGATTATAGATGCAGAATTGTATGCTCTTTTGTTTGATTTCATCCTGATTATGTCAATCATTGTGCCTATGCTTGTGAAAACTCTCTACGATCCTACAAGAAAATATGCGGGCTACCATAAAAGGAACATCATGGCTTTAAAGCCTTATTCAGAGGTTTCAATAGTTACTTGCATCCATGTACCCGATGATGTGGCCGCGGCAATCAATCTGTTGGATGTCGCAATGCCTTCTAAAGACAGTCCCATGGTTGTTAATGTTCTTCACCTCATGAAGCTTAGAGGACAATCAACTCCGATCTTCATTTCCCACGACAAGAAAAGAATCCCCGATGACTCTTCATATTTCGAGAATATCATCGTTTCTTTCAATAAATTTGAGGGAAACAATTGGGGAGTTCTATCTTTCAACGCCTTCACAGCAGTTTCTTCACCTAGTTTCATGCATGAAGATATATGCACTCTCGCATTGGACAAAACTGCATCACTCATAATCCTCCCATTCCATCGCAGATGGTACATTGATGGAAGTGTAGAATCGGATGATAAATACATAAGAACCTTAAATTCTAGGGTCCTGGAAATGTCTCCTTGTTCAGTAGGAATCCTCATCGATCGCGGCAAATTAAACCGTCCGGTCGACGATGATCCATTATCAGAACCAGAATACAAAGTTGCGGTCATATTTATAGGAGGTCCCGATGACCGCGAGGCATTAACTTTCGCAAAACGGATGGTTCTAAACACCAGGGTTACCCTCACAGTGATTCATTTGGTTGCAGCGGAAAATGATGAGGAAAGCAACAACTGGGGAAAAGTGCTGGATACCGTGATATTGAGGGATGTCAAGAACAATGGATATATACATTACAAAGAGGAAGAGGTAAGCGATGGACCCGAAACCGCAACACTGCTTCACTCTCTAGTCAATGAATTCAATCTGATGATTGTTGGGAGGAGAGTGGATTTAGAGTCACCCCAAACGTCAGGACTCACAGCATGGACTGAATTCCCAGAGCTTGGAGCCCTAGGAGAGCTTCTTGCATCAAAAGATTACAGTAGCAGATGCTCAGTTTTGATTGTGCAACAACAACAGACAACTTAGTCCGTCCAACTCAATTCATGTACATTCTGGATGATGAAGATTTTCTAGTTCATGGGATCTTAAGGCCGTGGGTAGTGAAATTGTTTATTATTCAATTAAGTTTGATTAAACTTTAATTAATATATTAGATATTTTAGAGAATCCCCTTTTATGCGTAGCAATTTTTTTTTTTTTTTTTATTTGATTAATTTTATTGTTCATATTTTGAACATTATTTATTTGAAAAAAAAAAAAATATATTGAGGCAACCAACTGGGAGATGCTCATGTAATAACACTATTATTATTACTACATTATAAGTAAAGATTATTGACACAAATTATTCTCTATAAATTGATGATTGCATATTTGATACGTAATCTCATTTAATTTATTTAGTTTATCTTTAATCTAAAATTATCCGATCACCTTGAAACACATTTGTTTGTATGAAAGAGTTTTTATAAAAAAATTTCTATATAAAGTATTACTGTACTTAAAAATCATGCTAACGGATAATTATCAATAACATAACGCTTACAAAGCTTTCAATTCGCTTTGGATCATCAAATCAAATGTGAATAGCCCGGCCTTTTCCATTTTAAACAAGGACTAAACAACTTTTTCCCACCCAAGGTTTGCCTTAATGACATTTTCACACCCAAAGTTTATATTCTTTTAATACCTAAAATACACTTCACTTTCTTAGTCGGCGTTTGGCGAGTTACCAGGAGCCATGGTAAGAAGGATTTTGTAGAGTGGAGATTGGTGGATCGAATGGTGATGACCTATTGAATACTCACCATTGGAATAAGTCCAAAATCAACTAAGAACAAGAAACTCTAGCTTTGCGATGACCTGTAATCAACGAGAAATTAAGTGCCGAAGTGAGAGGGGTTTTGTAGAGAAGAGTCCAGAGGTTCAAATAGTGGTGATAGAGAGAATTTTAATCTTAGGAATTGGCCAGGATCGGCTTTAGGTAGTAAAGAAATATTAACTTTAGGTGGAAAAGTGGTACTTTGAAACTATTTGGGTGGAAAAATGTCATCAAGAAAACCTTGGCTGGGAAAAATTGTTTACCCTTTAAAAAAAGGGTGCTTCTAATTCTGTTCGTGCTTAAAACAATTTTTTCTTTTACACTTAAAAAGAGTCATACAAAAATCTCTATACAAAGTGACGTAACAACTTAGTTGACATTGTCATGTCAAATACCACATCATTTGATTGACATTAATTAAATTTTTTTTATCAATTTTCGTAGTTCAACTTTAATTATCGCGATATTGGAGGTTTTAATTCCATTGTTTCTACGTTTCCATTCCTCTCAAAATCACTTATGTTGTATACATAAAATCTCGTTTACTTTCTTGGAATCTCTTTCCTGTTTCACCCATCAAATTAGTAGAAATCGAGAAAATTTTGCCGCAAGACGAGATATTCAGAAATTGTGCACCTTAGTCCAACCCAAATCCTGCCATGCATAGCCTTAATCCCCACCCCATTGCACAAAAAACCCAGCCCAACTGCTTCTCCACCTTGTGGAATGCCACACCTTCACCCAACCAACTTGCTTTCCATCTGTTTATGCTTTTGGTAAAAGGAGACCTGATTTCACAAAAAGGCTTGTTGATGCGTGAATTTGACACCAACTAACCGCACGTGTGAAATGCTGAGCTAGCCTAGAGGACACTTGAAAGTGGGATTGAGAATGTAAATAATAGCAAGATAATGTTTAAAGTGGTTCGGATGCTTGACCAAGCGAATCCTACGTCCACTGGTATTGTATTGATAATTAAAGGATCAGGTCGCTGCTTAGCGAGCTGATAAGAATAAAAATGAGAGAGAAAGATATTACAGAGAAAAGATAGCTAATCAAGAGTAAAAATGAGCAAATCCTACAAACGGGAGAGAAGCTCTCTATTTATAGTGGGATACATTGAGATAATCATTACTGAATCCGTAAAAAGGGGTCAGGTTCCGTGCAAATCTTCCTTTACGTCCCGTTATTCACCTACTTGCGCGATCTCCTTGCTTTATGCAGGGGTTGGACACGTGGATGACCTCCAGCCTTTCTTCAGTCTGGCACGCACCCACTGCACTGGTAGGACCATGCTGCTCATGCCAAGATGCGACGTGGCTGCGCCTGAATGGTTGTAGGATCTGCCCAGACCTTGACCACTTGCGTTAACTGAGCACTATGTCAGCCTTACTTTTTCAAGCATAACAGAATCCCGTAATTTTTAAGGTTGGAGAATCGAACCTTGGAAATTACAAATGCCTTGATCTGACGTGCTCGAAGAGATGCTATTCGAAGCGATTTGATTATGAAGGAGGTCGAAAGGACATTTCCTCGCATGTGACCTAGGTTGGTCTTTAACTTTACAGCCAACGACCTGGATTTGGGTATCTAGCGCTATAATGATGGTTCCGACCCGGGAGGAATCTTTGACATGTTTACACTTAGCAGCTTTCAAAAGGATAAGTGGTCGCTTCTTCGCAACTGATATCTGTTGAGGTTGAGGTTGAGGAATTACATCACTTCGCGACTTTCGAAACGAAGAGTGTTTTTCATAACGACCTCTTCAGATGTTATCTGTTGCGCTTTTGTAGCAGATACATTAAATGAATACCTTTTGCCCTGACAGACATGTCTTAAGCGTAATAAGTGCCAGCCATGCGCATTAAATGCGAGCCATGCTGAAACGACATTCCCTTTCAAAGCATTAAATGTGGACATGGGCACATTAAATGTGGAGGAGGGAAAACGTGCCATCGCTTGAGTATTTCAACAGAAAGGGATGACGATCTGATTTTTCGAGGCGTGACGGTCACTCTTTTTCGTTGGTTCATGACACGTGGTAGTGATCAATGTTCAGGTGGGTTTTCTGCCAAACGTCGTTTGACTTCGAGAAAACAAAGCGCCACTTCCTCAGCTATATAAACCCCAAGCTCTTTTCAGGCAAAGTCACAGTATTTTCATTCTCAGAGAGAGCAAGAAACTTTTTGCAAATCTTGGTTCTTTGCCTTTCAGAGTGGTGTTTGATTGATATTCGGAGTAGAACAGCCAATCTTTCTCATCTCAAGAGGTAAGACGAATCCCTTCTCCTATTTTGATTTAATTTTGCTTTCGACAGTCACCATGAGACGACTGCCCGTTGGAATCTCATCGGAGATGAATTATTCTTCGTTGAGTCAGGTTCACTGATGGTGGCCCTTTAAGCATTCTGTTAGGGTTTTTCTAGGGTTTAAGGAAGGAAATATTTATTTTCCTTTCCATGTCATCGTACGAAATAGTGTACGAGGACTGAATGGTTCTCTGCTAGTCGCTTTTGCAAACCGTAGCAAAATGGGCCCCCCAATGACTAGAGCTGAGGAAGGGACCAGTTCGCCCATGCAGGATGCTGCTACGGGTCACATTCGGGAGATCTTCTCGGTACTTATCGAGGAAGAGCTCGAAAGGGTGGTAGACCAGTACGCTATCAGCGTGGAGGTCTTCCGCAATAGGACACGTACAGCTCGATATTCGCCACTAGGGTTGGCCACGATCTCTGAGGATATTATCAAGTGTGGGGGGTTGATCCCTTTCCACCCTTTTGTCAGGTCGGTCCTGGATCATCTCGGGATCATGCCTATGCAACTCATGCCAAACACGTACATGATTGCCGTGGCCATGTATATCGCTTGTCGTGAGAATGGGTTGGGCGAGCTGACTGCGGTGGAACTCGGCTGCTCATATATCCTAAAGAAGAGCAAGGATAAGGATCCCTACTACTTGTCCAGGCGACCTACCATAGAAGCGGGGATACACAGCTACCTGAGCAATGCAAGACCGTATGAGATGAAGTTCTTTTTCTTTCGTCACGACGGCATTTGCTGCTTCTGGGAGCCGAGTAGGTCCTTTTTCTTTTTGAATTCATTGAATTTATGTCTTTTGCTAACGAGCTGTTTATTTTTCTGGCAGTTAACAAAACGACCAACTTAGATCTGCTCGTGGACTCGGACCGGATCACAACCTTCGATTTCCTACTCGGGGCAAGTCGCTATGCGAGGCTACTCGTGACGACGATGAACTTTTGAAAATACGAGTTCTTCAACAAGGACGCGACCTTAGAGACCCCGCCGAGTAAGTATCTTGACTTCTTTTTGACTCTTCGCATAGCGAACTGTTTTACTAACGGTGTTCGTATGCAACGACCATGCCTCTTAGAGTGCCCAAGTCACCATGACCAAGGCGATTTTCCTTTCCCCAAAGGAGTACCACCAGACAAGCTGGAGCGGCTCCCAGCGGTCCCTCCGGCAGGGGCACACCGATGGCTGCCCTGGCCTCGACCTAAGGACCCTGTTCGCCTTAAGCAGAAAACTATGGCCCAGAAGCTGAAAAATAGGAGGCTGATTCAGACCAAAGAGTCAAAGTCTGAACTGGAGGGTTTGGGTGTCCAATCTGAGAGGTCGTAGCCCTACCAAGCCTTCCGCTTGGGAGGGCCAGCAGGTGGCGTGACCGGCATCTCTATCGCTCCCAAGGGTTAGTAGGTGAGGTAACATAGGACCTTTGTCCCTAGGAGGAGGTCAGGAAAGGAGCCGGCAGGGGGGAATCTGCTTGCGGCAGGCACTGGTACCCCCGTCCTAGAGTCGATGGGACATCTACTGGACCACCTGTAGCCGATAGTCTTCACATTGCTCGAATGTGGGCTCGCGGAGGTCTTCGAATAGTTCATGGCTTCCGAGACCATGGACCTAATGACCACGTCCTTCTACCACCTGAGCCAGGTAAACAAACTGCCCTTGGCGAAGACATTTGCTTATGCAAAATAATTAACTTTATTCTCTTCGCTATGCAGGCTTCGCTCTTCATGCACTTGTCTTTGCAAAAGGTCTAGCTCGGGATCGCTGAGGGATTGGTGGAGATGAGGGAAGAGAATGCACAGCTTAAACTGGACCTGGCGGCCGCCGACGCAGAGAGAGATTTGTCCATCACCTCGGCTAACCAGTACCTAAACGAGAGAAATGTTGCTCTTCGCACA